TTGTTTCAATTAATATGGAACACTGTTAATATAGAATTTGTGTTTTTTTTTTTTAAATTATAAATAAAATTTAATAAGTTACTTCGGCAAGAAATTTGCGTATTTGATTTGTATAATCATGTGAAAGCCATGTTGTATTATGTTGACCATCAGGAAATATTGTCAATTGTTTCTTCAAACTTTTACATTCCTAACAAAAAAACAAAAATAAACAACTTGTCTGTACAATTCAAAAAGAAAACTATATATAATTTAACTAATTAAATAAATAGAAATGATAGTTTGACTAATGAAAAAATGATTTTAACTACATGTTAAAGGATTGATACAATAAAAGTTTAAAATATTTAATCTTTCTAGATTGTTTTTTTTTCAAGGAAACTTTTAGAATATTTTAATTATTCTGAAGTCTATATGTGAGTAAAATTTAATTTAAAACTGCATTATTCAAGTTGTCTATAAGAACTTGATACTACATTGAAAAACAAGAGAAATCGATACACCATTCGAAGGAACTCTAAATGTCCTCAATAATTAATTATTCAACATATGGATAAAATATCATTAAAGACGATATAGATTACTTGAAGATATCCTTTTGAAAGCGAAATTCGTCGGAAAAACATATCAATAATCTGTTTGACATTACTTAAACCATTAGTGTTGATTACTTCGATAAACAATTGATATCAATGCAAATATTTTTTGTGTCAAGTTTCCATTTTCTTAGGAAAAAAAAATTCTTTTCGATAATCAGTTTTTGTTTTCATATAATATAAAACTGTTCGAAAACGTTTATGCTTTCCAAATAAAACTCAAGAATTTAAAACAATGACAATTAATTTACATAAGAAAAATTATTATTGTTTCAATTACTTAGTTTTTATTCTTAGTGTCCTAACGATTAGTCAATACTCAGATCTTGATAAATCATCAAATGATTAAGATATAACAAACCTCATGTAATTTTTCCATCATTTGTGGAGGAACTAATTCATCTTGTCCACCAGAAAGCAAAAGTATTGGCACTTTAATATTACGAATTTTTAAAAGCGATGGATACTATATAGAAAAACAATTATGCATAAAAACATGAATTTCTTTGAAACCAAAAAAAAAAGAAGAAAGATATTCATACCACATTTTTATAGCACCAATTAGGTACATAATCAAGTACAGTAACTTGAAATAGTCTTTTAGCCATATCAGGAATCGATGTAAAAGTATTTTCAACAATAATACCATATAATGATGGTGTTGCATTTGTTTGAGCAAGATGCGAAGCTAAATAATATTAATAGAATATTTACAAGAAATATTGAATTTATTTTCTTTACCAAGGTGTAATGCAACAGCACCACCAAGTGAACGACCAAATAAAAATATTTTTTGTTGATTAATATCATTACGTTTACGAACATAATTATATACAGCTAATGCATCTGTATAAAGACCTGCTTCAGATGGTGCACCAGTTGATTTACCATATCCACGATAATCAAAGAGAAGAATATTAATATTACATGTTCGATATAAAAGATTGGCATTTTGTAAACTAAATCGAAGAGAAAAAAAAAAAAACTGTTTTTTCTCTACTTTTCTTCCAGCATATTTATCTAAAGCTTTATAATTAAATTTAGAATTATAAACTTTGTTTTAAAGATTAAAATGTGAAATATGATATAGTTACTGTTTCTAATTAGAGGATAATTGTTGTTTTTTTCCTATCTATCTTGGAATATACATTTCATCATCGTTTTATTTGGTCCTGAAGAAATGCAATATAGTCTTTCCGTTTAATTAATCAATTTCTCAAAAAATCGTAACTCTAACTAGTATCTTTATACCAAAATATGCCAAGATTTCAGAACTTTGACTGTCAAAAACTCTAAAAATATTTTCCCAAACCTCCCAAATACATAGAAGACCCGAAATCTTCTACTGCAATAGAAGTGTGTAAGGGAAGGACGGCTAATTCATATATTATAAAGACACTTTATTCATATAGGATTTATGAATGTAAACTCTTCATCGTAATGAAAGCCCGCAGAGCTTCTAAAATATTCAAGTATTCAATAATTTTAAAAAAGCTTCAATTATATTAATTCGTGATAATGTTTAAATACATGTGCCAACATAAAATGCTAGTGACAAAGTACATAGTAATCATGATCTCATATATAATCTCAAAACGATGTTTTGTGTGTTTTTTGTTAAAACAAGTATTATTGGCGTCAAAATTCAAAGTACTTGGATGGTTTTTGAATGAATTTTCATAGAAACAAAACTACCATAAGAATTCATTGATATTTATTTTCTTTTTTAGAATAACATTTTTATTACTCTTATCCGAATATAATTAATATATGATATTTTCTTATGACAATTTCCAGATTCTTCTCACTTGACTAGAATAAAAAAGAAATGCGAAAACCTCGGATTTAAATCCGAGTGTTATGTGTACTGCGAAAAGTGAAGAGATATATTCACTGTTTTCTATCAACTGAGCCATATTTAGCCTATTTGCTTTTTGCATGCAGTTTTTCTGCATTTTGAGACATTTTTCATGGGATGTTTTGTTAGAAAGCTACGATTTGGTTCAAAACTAATATCAGATTCGGAATCAGCGTTAAAAACTGANAATAATTCGGAGAAAAAAATTTTTTTGTTGAAAAAATCCCTGTATCCCCCCTCAGGGATGGTCTTCTCAATAATGACAATTTTTTCGATAACTCAGCCATTTCTTGACGGATCCTGCTCATCTTCAAACTCGACCGAGACATTGTTAAGACTGAACTGTGTAGAAAATTTCATCGCGATTGGACTCTCCTTTCAAAAGTTATTGTGTTAACGGCCGGACGGACACACTGACCGATTCTAGAGTGTACTCACTTTTTGAGTACACAAAAAAGATACGGAAAAAATAGTTTCTATTTAAAACGAGCAGTTCAATCATCAAGACTACTTTGCGATGAACATTGGATAGGTATGAGTGTAGTAAAACTATACATATGACCTTCTGAATGGTTTACTTTTTTCTGTAACACTAGAAAAATTATTTTTCTTCATATTTTGAATTTTAATAAAACGAGAAAAATCCGGAAATCACCATAAGAGCATTTTTTTTTCTTAACGGAAATACCACATATTAATTACGATCCGATACAATCAAGAAAAATGTTACTCTGGAAAAAGAAATAAATCTTGTCATGACGTTCAGCGCAGTCGATAACCTATATTTTCATGTGTTTGTAAATGTACGACATCTAAAGAAAAAGGATTCTAAAGATTTCAGAAAAACTGCTTGATATCTTCAAATTTTCGAAGTTAAAATATTTTTATAGGTCCTATAGAAATTTTCAAAAAATCCAATGTATTTTTCCAGAAAAGACTTTGCTTATGAAATTATATCTCTCGACCTTGTTTATTACATGTTATAAACTGCATGGCTTGAACTCTGACGCCAATAATAGTCAAATACTCTTAAAAAACATCAACAATATATATATATATCAATAATTTCCTAAAATTACTTATTAATGCAATGAGAAGAGGACAAAGATCATCGATTAAGACATCGAAAGTAATTATGAAAACATTCAATTATATTTTCATAAACATGTTTTTTACTATCTTGTATGAGAATGTACCATAATTATTTTATATTTATTCTATTCAATAGATAATTTTTAAATGATCGATCGAATTGATAAATATCATTAATCAAATAGTCTCTAATCAATTCATTGAGTGCCGTAACTAAGATAATGAATTTTTCAATCAAAAATGATTTGAACAATAATTTCAACAAATTGATTATACGTGATTAAACATTTATTATTAGTTTAAATACGTGTTCGAGCAAAAATTCGATTAACTCTTTCCCTATGAGATTTTATTTACCAAAATTACAATTTTTTGTTTTGGTATATTCTAACTAACTCTATTTTCTTATATTGTATTTATTTGATCGAACTATTTTCACTACGAGGAATATATTATTCAGTTAGAGAATAAGAAAACATTTCAGGAAATAATTTAAAAAGAAAATATTCAATTGGAAGATCTTCTTGAATTTTCAGAAAGTTAAATCGAATGATTTTTCGATATTAAAAATCTTTTTAAAGATCAAATGTATTTTTTTTTTATAAAAGACACATTCAACCGTATTTGATATAGTTTAATTAGAATGTTATAATACATAAAATAGTAAATATAAAAATCTTGCGGAAATGTTAGTTTCTACAAATTCAATGAACTTCAAAGTTTATTAAGGTTCCTGTTGAAATTTTTTCATTGAATTTGCATACTGTCATAGAATGACGCGCACATCCGAGAAATTCATGCTCAAACAAAAATCCTTTTTTTTTTTATTTTATTTATAGAAGATTTTTTTTTTTTTAACGAATGACGTTTTTATTTTTATTATGTAGAACAATGCTATCATACCGATGGCCAATATTTCCAGCATTTCCATGAAAAAAAACTAATGTTTCACGTTCATTTGTTCGATTAATTTGTTTAATTAAATATCCATGTAATTTTTCATTATCAGGTGTTTCAATTGTTATGGTTTCATATGGCATATGAAATAAATCGGGTGTTTGAACAATTGTTCGTGCTGTATCTGGTTCATTTGGTTGATAAAGTAAAGCATCTTGAAAACCATACAATGAAGCTAAACAAAATCAAATATAAAATTTTCTTTTATTTTTACGAATTACATACAGATTTGTTGTTGGGCATTGTTAAAAAAACTGTTGATCGATTGCATGAAGTTCATTTAAATAAAAAATAAAATGAAATCTATAAATATATTAATTGTTTGTTTTTTTTTTCATAGAATAAATGAAAATTTCTTGAATTATATTTGAAAGAAAAAAAAAATGAAACTTTAATATTTCAATGCAATCCGAAATAAAGGTTTTATACAATCGAATAAACAAACAGAAGAGAAAAAAATACACATTTTTTTTTTTAATAAGTATTATAAATATCGTTCAAGCACGTTGAGGTCTTTCAGGAATTAATGATGAAAAAAATGTTGATACAGCTGTAAGTAAAAGACGTGATGTTGTTACTTCAGTTTCACCAACAGGACCAGGTGGAGGTGGCGGAGGCTGAATATAATAAAAGAAAAATAAATATTAACACTGTTTTTTATTCTTATTTTATGTAAGGATAATTCTAAAATCGTCAATTCCATCATAGTTAGTGTCTCTTCTATCGAACTCAAACATTGTAACTTGTATAAAAAGGAAAAAAAAGTATACAAAATGTTCATGTTCATTGGCATACGACCTTCGAAAAAAAAAAATTCTAATCTGCTTTACCGGACAAAAAATTTTAATGACGAACCAGCTGATATGTTTCAGAAAAAAACGCGATCTTTCTTTTTACTATTCAAAAATGTTTAATAGGCATGTAGTCTTAGTCGCTGAAAGCGAAAGAAAATTTGAGTAGATTCTACTTAATCTGACTCTGACTTTCCTACGGTTCTTTCTCATTTGTAATGAAGAATCACACTTCAATCATTGACGATGTATGATTCACTATTGTACAATAATTCAATGTTTTCTCATAAACATTTTTTAAATCTGCTTGATTCGTAATCTATTATTAATAGCTTCCGAAGATGACAAAAAAAAATATGTGATTCGCTACTCAAACCTATCAATCTGATGAAAGATATCAAGTATTTGAGCCCACTATAGAAACTTTCACTTTCTCAAGTCTTATAGTTTCGTGGCTTTTGCGTTTTGAGCACGTGTTGGTAGTAGATAAAATGTAGATTTTTACAATAATTAGATTTTATTTAAGTCTTTACCTGAACAGTTTATACTAAGTTCGAGCTTACACAAGACTTATGAGCTGAGATTGTTATTGGATATTTCTCATATAAGTTAAAACAAAGGTCGTACTGGAACTAGACTTTGAATGTTAGAAAAAAAAAGTCTGTAAAATCTTACAAATGATTAGCTTTTATTTATATGGGACAGAACTGAAGCCCATTGGGTTCAAAATTTTTGGATATAGACCTGATTTATTAAACTTTGTCGTATCCAAATTCAAACTATACTCCTTATCTCAACGAAGTTTTTTGTATGATGAGGAAAGTTTCCAACTGACTAATCGCTTTTCAGCTGGAATTATTTATATCATGAAAACCCTAATAAATTAAGAATGTCCTGAAGAATTCGATCCGATAGCTTATTGCTGCTGACATATTGCATTTTTATGATATATTTCAATGCAATACCAGAATAATTAATTGTGAAAGTATCAGATCATTTGATCTGTACTGGTCTTGAAATAAGAACATCGAATCTGCAGATGTACAGATGCGATTTTATCATGGTAGTGTCTTGCAATAGAAACAACAAAAATATCTGACATTTTTACAGTAAACTATTCTCATCAGGACATGTTTCGATGGATATTTCAAAAATCAGCTTTCTTGAGGATTTTCGGGTGTTTATAACTCATTAAGATCTACATAACAAAAATGCTTTCAGCTCCAAAGCGATTAATCAGTTCGAGAGCTTCTCTCGGAAGTCTTCAAGTCGTTTCGAAGATGCGCGTTACTTATTTATATTTTGCTACTAACACATCGTACAATCGACAAAGCTCAAAAGACATTTTACATACACGTTGACGTTCAATATCATTCTGATTTTGGGCCTCATTTGCTACTACTTCAGCTTCAATTTCATCTTCTCCTCCTTGTTCAACATCATTTGCAGCAGCAGCAGCAGCAGCTTGTTCAGGAACAACAGGTGCCGGTGGTACTTGTGCACGTCGACGCCTATGTATAGATAAATAACCACGACAATGTCTAAATAAAAGAAAAAATAATATATATTAGTTTATAAAAAATATTAAATTTAAACTTACAAATAGAGAAGAGCAAAAATAACAAAAACAACAAGAAAACGACTGAATGTTGAATAAAAATAAATAATTGAACAAAGAACAAATAATTCGACTAACATATTTAACACCCCTAATAGATCATTCTCTTGTTCAAGTTCATTATTATTATTATTTCCAGCTGCTGGTTGTTGTGCTGCTGCTGCTGGTGGTGGTGGAGGAGCGGTATTAGTATCATTAGAAGTTGATTGTTGTGTTGAAGTAATATTAGTTGTTGTTGTTGCTGTTAATGGTGACACTACTGTTCTTTGATAGGCAAATAAATTTTGACTAAATCGAATAAATATTATTTATTTCATTTTGTTTTGTTTTTATACTTACTACATTTGATGATGTGTATAACAATATTGTAAATAAGCTTGACTTTCATAATTACATATTGGCGGATTTGCATTTGGATTAGATATAAATCTAAAATAAATACAAATAATTATTTATTAATAAGAATAATTGAAAATACTGTTGAAGTTGTTGTTGATATGTATATAATTCTTCTAAATACTGTTCATAAGTATTTGAATGTGAAGAATTGTTTAACTTTTCAGATAATGAAGGTTGTTCTGTAACAACAGGAGGTGCTCTTACTGTTGTTGATTGATTTATTCTTGGTGTCTGAAACAGAAATAAATTTATTAAAACATGATAGATTATTATTAACAACTTACAGATGAATTTTTATCCGAATCAAGAACAAGATGAACCATAAATGATGATCCTGATGTTGACTAAAAATGTTTTTTAAACATCTTACTACACATTTATATATCTTTTATGAAAAACAAAAACAATATCTCAATATCTAAGACATATGTAACATGATAGTTTTTATAGTGATCATATGTGTGAATCGTTATCATGGCAATCAATTAACACTTTTCAAGTTCTTGACAATTTATTTTGCTTTTTTAATAATGAAATTAAAAATAGATATTTTTTTTATTTTAAATCTTAATCAAATAGTGTTAGGCATCAAGTGAAATTTATTAATCTTATTCTCTTTTAAAAATTTAATTATTATAATGAAATATAATTTGTTCGATGTGTTAAAATTAAAGAAAAAAAAAATATTTTTTTTTTCTGTTTAGATTATTAACAAAATCTATCGAGTATTAAGATTTATGACTTCTATTTTACAATAAATCCATGACAATAGTATTGTGTTGTTTTATAATTTAAAAAAAAAAATATTAATCATGAACCAATGATTCAAATATAATACTGATTTTTTATCTAATGAATAGAGATATTCTGAACGATGAAAAGAAAAAAAAAGGATGTCAAATAATTTTTAATGACTATCTTCTTTTTAGAGAATGTTCTTAATATTATCTGAGACCGTTGTATCTGGAGTTTTAAGATTATTTGAAAATACGTTTATACAATGATCAAATATAAAATCATTTCAGATTTAGTTAGAAAAACTACTGTAGTTATCTATAGAAGTAATATAAGCCGACTGACATGTGACACATCCACTATATATTTCATTCATGTTTGTTAAATCATAAAAAAAGCCGACACGTCAACAAGCAATAACAATCAATCATTTAGTAAGAACTGAATATTTTAAAAAATAATACATAGTTTCGTCAAGAATTACAAAATGAATATTTTGATTAAAAAAAAAAATTTTTGTTTTACAATGATTAGAACCAATTGAAAAATAGTGAGACTGACATTGATTGCGATTCATGCATAGAAAGCAATTAAAATTATTCTTACTTTAATAAATACTTGATTAAGTACACTAGCATCATCAAGAAGTTTACCAGAAAAAATTAATCGTTGATCTTTAGGTATCTATTAATTATAAAATGAAATAAAAAAAAAATAATATTTAACTTAAAATAATAATATAATTCATACTGGTTTAGTTGGATGATTTAATGTTATTTTTTGTTTCAGATCATGAACAGTTAATAATGGGGAAAGTTCCAGAAAAAAATCTGCGTATTTATTATTTGTTGTACGAATAATTAATGTAATTGATTCATTTGATGACGCCATTAGAAAGTGAATAATTTTTTTTTTGTTCCTGTATTTTATTACAAATGAAAATTAAGGAAAAAAATAAACATTCATATCAACCTACACACACACACACAGGTGCTTCATTTTCTATTGATATTTTTTTTAACCAATCATAAATAAACAAATAGAATTTTTTCTAGAGGTCCTTACTATTGTAAAATATGAGTCATTTGATTATTGATAGATAGGAAACATAGATATAGTTAGACCCATTTATTTTGTTACGTTCTACCGATCTTTAAGAAAATAGCAATCGATAAGATGTCAGCAGAAATTCTTATCGGTTTTTTTTCTCGATCATATTTTTCTTCGTCGTCAGTTTTCTTATGATTAATAAAAAATAGCAAGAAAAGAACACCGTGACATTTATCATAGGGAAGTCTCAATGTCAGAGAGTTAAATGCTTTTTCAATATGAAAGCTATTGTCAGAAATAATATGTCAATAGAACAATAAGTTTTTATTCTATTTAGATGAATCGTATGCGAAAAATTGTAAGTAAAAAAAAGCGAAGATATCAACAAGATGGTTTTGATCTTGATTTATCATGTAACTATTTATAAATTTTTATTTTTATCAAGATTAATAATTATGTTTCTTTTTTTTTTTTTTTTTCTTTTTTTTCTATTTTATTAGATATTCGACCAAATATTATTGCAATGGGATATCCAGCTGATAGTTATGAAGGAGTTTATAGAAATAATATTTATGATGTTAGCCGGTATGAAATAATAGAATTTGATTTGTCTATAAATTTCAATTTAATTTCTTTCTTCATTAGATTTTTGTCGTCAAAACATGGTGATAAATTTTATATATATAACTTGTAAGAATTTAAATGAATTTATAAACCAAAGCCGAATGAAATATCATTATTATTATTTTTTCTTTTATTATAAATAGATGTGTAGAGAGTGAACGTCAATATGACGGATCTCGTTTTAATAATAATGTATGCACAGACTTTAGTTTTGAAGATCATAATCCACCTCCAATGAAAATGATTTTGGCCTTTTGTCAACATGTTAAAACACAATTAAATTTAATGACTGATAGAACAATTGTTATACATTGTAAAGCTGGAAAAGTGAGTTAAGACAATCATGTAATAATTAGAAAATTTCCGAAGCAAGTTTTATTTTATTCTCAGTTCCGACTTAAAGAAAACTATTTTAGAATTGATTCGATAATTCATAAAAAAAAAATAAGTCATTGAAAATTTAACCACAATGTTTATTTCCGTTTCACACAATTTTGTTTTTCTCTCGGTTGGGACTCATTATATTTTGATATTTTTAATCTCGTACATCTCTCTAGTGACATCAGATATGTATGAATCTGTTCGTAATATTAATTTATCGGAAAAATCTTTTGCTTGTGTCTAAAAACAAGCATATAACCTTTGTATTTCTTATTCAAGAATCCATCAAAATTATAAGTGTTAGATTTGACCTATGTCATATAGAATGGCACGTAAGCAATCATTGTTTAGACTTCAGTAGAAATATTGTTCGGATGATTATTTTCATAAAATAAAAGTATTTTTAAACAATTATTAGAAAATTTTGAACGATCAATAATAAATAAATTTAATCTTAATGATCTTTTTTCTATCATTGTTCAAAAGAGTATATTCGAATTTTTCTCGAAATCATCTTGTTAGCATTGACATATAATTCATTTGACTTTTTTTTTTTTTTGCTGTTGTTAATATGACAATCTAGTTGACTTTCTATTGACCTACGTCTTATATCAATTAATAGATTTTATTGAGAATTCTTCATCATTACTGCGTACATTTTTGAAAGAAAAAAGTCATCGTGTTATGTTACATAAAATGGTCAGCTTGATCTCAAAATAATAAAGTATTTTGTTTTGCATATACTTCCTCTTTTGTCTGTAGTGAAAGTTTAATATAATAGAAGAGAACAATCATTCTTTTGTATTCTGAATCTTTGAATAAGACATTTATTCAAGTTATAATCGTCATCTTAATTGCTTTATATATATATAAATATAGATATAGCAGCTTGTCAACGTTTAGAAAAACGATTGTGATAATATCTCTAATTTAAAAAGATATTCGTCTTCATCTTTGTGTACTTTTACTAGACAACTAGTTTTTTCTTGTCAAGAAGTTTTGATTGTCTTTCTGTTGATATAATTAATGTCTGTACTAGTCTTCAGTTTTTAGACGTATGTTATGGATATAGTTTGTATGTGTTAATCTCTTTCTACGAATCTTATCCATGAATAAAACGTTTCTTAAGAACAGAAAGAATACGCTTGGGTTTGCAGAGAATCTATTGGGCGTAGATAAACTAATCCCTATAAGAAAAAAAATAGTTGTCAATAAGACATTATGCAATAAATATAGGGTCATTATACTATTCATCATTTTTCAAACGATACGGTTTCTAAACGGTGCCATTTACGTTCCGTTGAAAACTGTACCGTAATCAGGAATGACGGATTATGGTCTAAAAGAAAAGATAGAAGAAATAAACGTCGATTTTCTTTTAATGGCTACGACTGTACACGATCCGTTTTAAAAACTATGTTTGATGATCGGAAGAATCGTCCGAGCGATAAACTTTACTATATACATATGGGGTTGCTCAGTCTGGCCGGATACCCCATTAATATTTTTTTTATTGTAAGGATAAAACATACTATTGTTCGGATCATATGAGAGAGGGTCATAGATAACCCCGGATCGGTTCGAACAATAGTATATTTTATCCTTACAATAAAAAAAATATTAATAGGGTATCCGGCCAGACTGGGCAACCCCATATATATATATGCATAAATCAGTAGAAATTTTTATAATCCTTGATTCAGTTTGTACTAAGATAATTTTCTTATTTACATCAAATACAAATGAATATGAAGATAAAAAAATATTCTATTAGGAAATGATAAACATATATAAGGTGATGAAAAAAAGTTTAACAACAATGTATCTTTGATTTGTTTTTTTATAATGTCAAGCAATTAGCACAAATACAAATTGTGATTCTATTAGTCGATAAAATTTTCTATCTAATGCATTCTATAGTCAGATTTCTAAAAAATCAGACGTGGTAGTTTTTAGATTCCAGAACCTTTTTTTTTCATCATCTGATGTAGATACATTGATTGATAATAACTCACTTGAACAAGGGTTCTCAGTTTTCTACTAATACAACGAAAAGAATAGACTATTCAGTCAGTATAATTTCAAAACAGATATAAACTAGTCTTATGTCTTATCTGTTATACGTTAATGATGAATGGATCGAATTTTTTGTAACAAAATATTTGCTTATTTTTGGCTTCCTTGAAAATCTTTTTTTCAGAAATCAAAAGCAATTGGTTATGATAGAACAATTTTTCGTACACTTTTGTATTTTCATAATTACAATTTGAAAGTAAACATTGATACTTTTATTAATAGATCAGCTTGTAAAGCAGAAACTTCCTTACAAAAGATACTACTGAAGTTTTTCTAGAGATTACTTGAATTTTCGTTTCTCTTAAATCTTCATTATAAAAGCAAAATAAATTTTTAACTACAAGCCATTTTGTATAGAAAGAAGTTTTTGGCATAATGCCTATTGGTTCACTATTCAATCTAATTTTCTGAACCTTTAAAAAACTTTCTTCACTAGTCTTGAATAGAAACCGAGACAAGATTTTCAAATAAACAAATATTTTATTTCAAAATTTTTGTTGCATTCGGTAAATTTCACTGTTAAGATCTCTAATATATGTCAATAATATTAATGTTAATTAATTTTAGGGTCGAACAGGTGTTATGTCTTGTTGTTTTCTTCTTTATTATTATCGCGATGAATTTAATGATCCATTACAAACCTTAAGATTCTATGCTCAACAAAGAACATCTAATGAAAAAGGTGTTACCATACCTAGTCAACGTCGTTATGTTGAATATTTTGGTCATTTACTTAATTATCAACTAATATATACACATAAACAAATTGTTTTTACTGGTTTATTAATAACATATGAACAAAATCAAGTACTTAATTCCAGTATGTCTGAAAAAATAAATAAATAAAATTTTGTTAGTTTGTTTTTTTTTGTCTTTAGGTATTTCTTATACCCTTAGTTCATATAATCATCGAATACAATATCAATCATTTGAAATTCCTCTTGAACGTAATATAACCATGCATCAAGATTTAAGAGCAAATTATTCTGTATTAAATGCAACACATAAATATTTTATTCCATCATCAAGTCAACAATGTCAAATACCATTAGAAGAAGATGTTTTAATTGAAATTTTTTTAACAAAAGCACGACGTGGAAAACCAGTAATTTAGTATTTATTTTTTTTGTTTAATTTATGCAATAATATTTTGTTATTTTAGGAAAAATTATGTCATTTTTGGTTTAATACATTTTTTCTTGTTGATCCTAAAATGCAATTTTTATTAAGTAGTTATAATGAAAAACATTCTGAAAGTAATTTAGGTGTATTAAGTTCATGTCTTATACCTGAATTTGGACATAAACATTTATATACAATGACTAAAAAAGATATTGATGGATTACATAAAGATAGAATTCATCGATTAGTACCAGCATCATTTACAGTAAGTTTTATTTTATATAAAATACAATCGAATATTTCCAGTTACTTGATATATATATTAGTTTAGTTTCATGTTGTGAATTTTTCAACACAGGCAATGGTTTAATCTTTCTTTTTTTAATAATCTGTCTATTAAATTAATATTTTCTGTCTTGAAGAGATCGATTACTATTCAAATTTTAATATGTCGCCATATATTGTGTCAGATGGTATCATACTTTTTCCTATTAGTTGGGCTTTGTAGGTCTCTGCGTATTTTTGTGCCGCTATCGTTAATAAATAATCAAACTTGAAAATGAAGCGACAATAGCTCTTGTGGTTGGTATATGCAGTTTGAGCGCACTTTCCATGATAAGGAACTGCGATTTTGACTGAAGTCTAACATTTTTTGTAAAACCTTAAAAATATTCATACACTGAGATACAAAGAAAAATTAAGCAGAAGAACTACAGTTAACCAGTGGTTTAAACAATATCAGTTTAGTTAGTTTATTCCAAAGTAGGAAAGTGCTGACCCACATTTTTGTGGATCCCGACCAAAGATACAGAATATGTCGTAAATAGGGAAAATTCTTCTGAACGAGAAAAATTTGTCGAAGAATTTCGAGCAAGTATTTCTAGACAATAATTTTCAACAAATCTTCTCCGAACATATTATATTTTTCGAAAATTTCTTCAACCTGAGAAAAAGCTTTCTCGAACGCGTGCTCTGAGCTCATGGGTAGATTCTGCACTTTCTCTTCCTGACCTGCAGATTTCTACTAACAAGTTACAATAGAAAAATCGAGTCCTAATGAATAGGACATTGTCTTATAGTTGGCCTATTTTGAGCCTAGAAATGCCAATCAGAACACTTGGGATGTGTTTAGGAAACGAATCATGACTGAAAATAGTTAAAATTTATCGAAAGCCATGGAAAACCATTCGGAATCACAGACAATCTCCAGTAATAAGAGTAAAAGTAAAGTTCTGATTTGCAGTGAATCGACTAAAACAAATTTCTTGTAATAAAAATCAATTTGTTTTCCCTTGCTTGTAAATATAGACGACTGAAGGGAATAAAATCAAACCACTTGTATGATCTAATTGATTTAGCAGTAGACAGACTCGATATCCAAGTCATCTAATAGATTTTTGTATGGTTAGAATAGCTAAACAATAGGAGAAAGATATAGGTGTTACACATAATTTAGAACATTCGATGATATTAGAATCAATGAATATGTTTTGTAAAGCACGATCCAAAACAATTGTTGAAGTATAGAGATCAAACTTTGGACTCTCGATCACAGATGTTGTTGGTATAAGGTCATGGACTGTATATATCAATAATATCTTGTAACAATATATAACCTTATTGTTGATTGTATTTATGGAGCATTAAGTAAAAGTATGGTGAAGAAATATGTCCTTAAATCGAAAGAACAAAGCAATCTTTCTATGCTTAGCAACAACAGCTGCATCTTATTGCAAATTTCAATACCACAAGAATTGTGCTAACAATTTTTCTGATGAAATAAATCTGTCACAAAAACAGACTAATTCATCGTTTACTACAATACGATTAATAGGTTGAATTTGCTGAAGTTTTCTGAACCTACTATGACATAGTCCAAGAAGATGAAATAAATAAAAACATTATTAAACTTAACATTTAATATATGTTTTATTATCTCTCTTTAGGTTTCTGTTCTATTTGATTATATTCCTACAACGTCTTCAACGTTTAGTCAACCTGATTGATAGATGGTTAGTTGAAAAGATAAAAAATTTTATCAATAAAAATGAATAAAAAAAAAATGTATTTATTTATTTTTTTTCATCTAGATTATTGACAAAGTCTATTGAGTAAAGTGTGTCTACATCTGTGGTTTATTTTATTTTGTAATAGTAGAAAAACAGTAGACAATACCAAGTATCATTAGATGAATAATGTTATGAATCACTGTATTACGTACACTTACTCAGAACACAAATGCAAATAAAGGGGTTTGAAATGAATCAAATCTTATAATAATTATTTCATTATTTATAATGAATTCATCGTATACAAAATTAAAATAATAAAGACTAATTAAAACAGTAAATAAATCAAAAGAAAAATAAATAAATAAACCTATCAATGAATCAAAACGTTCTTGTCCTTGACAATAATTTCCAAAGAAAAAAAACTATATTTGTTCTTTATTTAAATATTGTGTTTGATTGGAGTAGTACAGAATCAGAATCCAGTATTAATCAAGCAAAATGATAATTATTGTGAAACGGCGGCTTGCCACGCTAGTTTTTTAAAAATTTCTGTTCTGTTTTTTTTTTTGCTTTGTGTATTTTCTCATTATGATTGTATTGTACACAATTTTTAAGACAACAAATATGATATGTTTATTTCAAAGTTTTATTTATGACTCAGTTGTGTTTTTGTTTTTATATCATTTTCGTCAATTTCTTTAAAAGAAAAGAACGAAAAATAATAGAATATTAAACGATTCGAATAACTTTCTCCATTTTATAGATTCAAAAAAATTTTATCACATGACATAAACTTTATCTTCGAGTTTTCAACATCAATCATTCTGAATAATAACAGCAACTGTTTCATATAAAATGGTATCATGAATATTTCGTCTATGTGAATTTTTCTGAGAAGAAATAACCTAATTTTACATGGCTTTTACTTGTCTTGTGTATTTATATAAACGAAATTACAGTGGAAGTTTGATGGAACTATCTTCTGGAAAGAAATAATATCATTTAAAGACTTATAAAGAGTTTGTATTGAATCTATGATGATAAAATATTAGATTGGTTAGCATTTCTAATAATGACACTTTACCTTGAAAGAGTCTTTTAGAATCTTTATTGCTTTTTTATTTTGTCAAGGAATAAAAAAAAATGTCCTTCAAAAAACAAACAAACAAAATTTTATAATAGATTTTGAAATATCTGAGCATTTCTATGAGTTTTTTCATCTTATTCATATGTTAATGTAAGCAAAAATATTTCTATAGAATATATTCTGACAATAACAACAACTTTCTATAAGTGTTTGTAGTCAAGAAACTTCATAGCAACGAATAATTTCAATATAGTATACCTAAAAATAGGTGAAAAATAATCAATTAAATATAGAAAAGATAAAGATGATGTGAGCTATTCATATTACTTCATTAATTGTTTTGAAAAAAGAATTCACTTTCAATTTAAAATAGATAAAACAAAAATTATTATTAATCATTATTTTTTAAGGTTTCAAAAATATGATGTCGCTTGTAGAAAAATTTATTAATTTTATCGAACTGAAATGTTCTTCTTTCTCGATGAACATTATAGATTTTTTTTTTTGAAGACAAATTTGAGTATTTTCGAACTATCAGCAGGTAGTTATCATGGAGTATTTCACTATAACATAATCACCTTTTTCTTTGTTTTTTACTTGGTACTATATGAAGAACGCAAATGCCCTTTTGCGTCAAATACTGTCATATATATATTAAGGTGAATAAGTTTGTTATGTGTTTTCTTGTATAAAACACAAAATGTAAGCACACATAATGAAGATACGTCTATTTATACACGTAATTATTTATCTTATCCTTTCTTCTTTGTATTTTGTATGACGACTATGGTGAGACATTTTCTATTGGATAATAGTATGATACTAAAGTTTAAAAACTTGCCTGATCTTCATCTAATGTATGTCTATATATTTTAGAAAAAAAAAGTTTTATTTTTCATATTATCTATTAAAAATCTAACGAAAACAATGTTGAAGTTTTTGATAATAATTGGTTGTTTTTTATGGAGTTTTTCAATAGCTGAAGTAAGAATTATAATTTTATTTTTAGTTGTTTTATTATTATTTTTTTCTAAAATAAAAGGATCAACATTGTATATGGTATGGACAATGTGGAACTAATCCACTCGGTAAAATAACAAATTGTTATTACAATGGATCAGCACAATTATTGACAGATGAAACAGCATTGACGACATTAGAAACAGCTTGTGCTATGATATATCATGGTAAGTATATTAAATTGAGATCAAATTATAACTAAACATAAGGATATACTGTAGATATTTTGTATTAATATATTATTTTTTTGTTTTAATTCAAATTTTAGAAATATTCATAAGATTCTAGACATAAACACTGAATCAATCCATATTAATGAGATATTTACATTGCTATAGCAACTTATTGTTCTTTTCATAAATTTTACTAAACATTTCTAAACTGATGATAGCTAGTTATTTTTTCCCTAGTCTTTAGTACATAGAAATTGTTCATAGATATTTTATTTAGACCAGATAACATATTAGAGTGAAAAATTCTCTATAAATCGAGACATCTCCGAGTTCTCTGCGACATTGTTTGACTGAGATAAGGAATTTGAGTGAAGGTCAAAAACTGTTTTTTTTCTCCTATAAGAAAGTAAAAAATCGACTTTCCGGAGTCCGTATCTGTTAGAATCAGATAATTATTTTTATTATTGTATAAGTTTTCTCTACTCAAATAACGATTTGAATTCTTTGTAGCATTGTATAATTAGCCGAAGAAAATTGAAAATAAACCGTATTGAGTCATTTTGAAATCTTCTACTTATATCCGAAAACTTATAATCATAGTAGTCAATTATTTTTACATTGAATTTATTTTTCAGGTCCTAATAGCACATATACTTGTTGTGCACCTGATCAAGTAGCTAATATGGCAAATCAATTTGGCTTGGCTAAATCAATGTTAGGACGTTGTCCATCGTGTTATTACAATTTTCGATCCTTATTTTGTTCTATGACATGTAGTCCAGATCAAAGTCGTTTTTTATCTATTACAGATATTGGTAATAGTTCATTATATCCTGGACGAGCAACTGTTGAAGAAATTACTTATACAATAGCTGATGATTTTGCTGAACGTATACTTAGTTCATGCAGGTTGGTTTCTCTTTGAATTTGAAATTTTTTTTTTTTTGGATAATTTTCTTTTTTTTAGAGATGTTTTATATCCTGGTGGTAATCAACATTCTCTTGATGCAATGTGTGGTCGACCATATGATCAATGTACAAAAGAATCATTTATGAAATATTTAGGTGAAGATAATCCAGCAGTACCATTTCCAATTCATATACTTTTTTCTAATGATACAACTGAAGAAAATAGTTATTATAATCAAACAACATTTTTATGTAGTGAACCTATAATATCAGAATATGAAAATAAAACAGCATGTAGTTGTTTGGTACGTTAAAATATTTTATTATGAAAATAGACGAAAAAAATGAAATATATTTATATTTAGGATTGTCCAAAATCTTGTAGTCCATTACCACCAGATATTCCGAATAAAAAATTTCTAATTTTTAATATCGATGGATGGCTTATAATTGCTATTATAGTGATAATAGCTTTATTATCAGTATTTTTTGTATCAATGTTTAAGATAGGAAGATTACGAAAACCTTGGAAAAATGAATATGAATTCACAGGTTAATATAAATATTTTTCTTTTGAAAAGATAAAATTTATATATTTTATTATGTACAGAAGCAATAATTTTGATCAATCCAATGACTCAACAAAAACCAGTAGGATGTTTAATGAATATTCGAAAACGTACTGAACGATTTCTTCAACGAGCTTTCTTCCGGTAAATATTTTCTTAGATATTTTTTTTTTATATTAAATAAAATTTTGTTTTCAGTTTGGGTCTTTTCTGTGCTCAACATCCATATATTGTTTTAATCATTGGTTTTATTATAATCGCCGGTCTTTCATGTGGTTTAATTAAATTTAAAGTAATAACTGATCCAGTACAATTATGGTCAGCTAAAACAAGTATGGCACGACAACAAAAAGAATATTTTGATAAACATTTTAGGTAAAATTTGATTTTAATTTCAAATTTCTTTTTTTTTTTCACTAAAACAAATTTCTTATTTGATTAGACCATTTTATCGAACTACACAATTAATTATTGTACCTGATGATCAATCATTTGTTACACATTATTATGAATCACCACCCGCACCACTTAGTGAATATACAGTAGGACCTGCACTTGAGATCGGATTTTTATCACGTGTACTTGCTCTTCAAACAGATATACTTTTACTTACAGCAGAATTAATTGAAAAAAATCAAACTGTTACTTTATCTGATATATGTCTTAAACCGTTAGCACCTGATAATGAAAACTGTACTGTTTTTTCTGTCCTTCAATATTATCAAAATTCAATGGAAAATTTAAATAAAAGTGTGGTTGATGATGTTTTTATTACTTTTGATTATGCAACACATTTTTTGGCTTGTTCACAAGCACCAACAACAACACTCGATAATCCATTAGGTTTATCATGTTTTGGGGATTTTGGTGGAACAATTAATCCATTTATGGTTCTTGGAAATTATTCAAATGGAGTATATGCTAATGCAACAGCTCTTGTTATTACGATTGTTATTGAAAATTCTAATGATCCTGAAAAAATTCAATTAGGTTTGTTCAGATATATATTCTTTCTTTTTTTTTTGTTTTTTTACATTCTTATGATACATTATTTTTTTTTTGTTTTTTTATTTAGCTGAAGCATGGGAAAAAGTTTTTCTTGATTATATGAAAAATTTCATTGAAACTCAAAAATCATTACGTGCTGCTGGTCGTTGGAATGAAACAGCTAATTTTACAGTTTATTATAGTTCTGAACGTTCAATTCAAGATGAATTAAATCGTCAAAGTCGTTCAGATATATTAACAATAGTTATATCTTATACAATTATGTTTCTTTATGTAACATTAACACTTGGTCATATACGTTCATGGCGTACATGTTTAATTGATTTAAAAATTTCTGTTGGATTTATTGGTGTACTTTTTGTTTTATTATCAGTTATGAGTTCAATTGGATTTTATTCTTATTGTGGTATTGCTGGTACTTTAATTATATTTGAAGTTATACCATTTCTTGTATTAGCTGTTGGTGTTGATAATATATTTATTATTGTACAACATTTTGAAAAAGCTAAAGAAGAAAATTATCAATCATCAGATATACGTTTAGCATCAACAATAAGTCGTGTTGGACCATCAATATTATTAACAGCAACAAGTGAATCAATTGCTTTTCTACTTGGATCATTAACACCAATGCCAGCTGTACAAATTTTTTCATTATATGCATTTATGGCTGTATTTATTGATTTTCTTTTACAAATAACATGTTTTGTATCAATACTTGCAATTGATGCTAGACGACAAGATTCTAATCGACCAGATTTATGTTGTTGTTGTTGTCAAATAAATAATTTAAATAATTTAACTGAAATAAAATCAAAAGGAATATTACAAAAAATGTTTACAAAAATTTTAACACCAATTGTTTTAGGAAATTCTATAATACGTGCTATTATTTTTTCAATATTTATTTGTTTAACATGTTTATCATTATCATTAATACATCGAATACCAGTTGGTCTTGATCAAAAATTATCAATGCCAAAAGATTCGTATGTTTTAAATTATTTTTATGGTTTAGAAAATTATTTAAGTATTGGTGCACCTGTATATTTTGTTGTTAATGAAGATGCTATCGATTATAAACGTACTACAGATCAAGATTTACTATGTGGTACATCTGGTTGTTCATCTATGTCATTACTTGGACAAATTGGACAAGTTTTAAGACAACCAAAACGTTATTATTTAGCACAACCACCTTCATCATGGCTTGATGATTATTTTGATTGGTTACAATCATCAAGTAATCCACATTGTTGTAGAATAAATAATCAAACACAAGAATTTTGTCCATCGACATTAAATGATACGTTATGTGTAAATTGTCCAATAGACTTTGTTGAAAATCAACGACCATCATCAGATGATTTTCAACGTTATATTGAATTTTTTCTACATGATAATCCAGGTGAAAAATGTCCAAAAGGTGGTCATGCAGCATATAAAGATGCTGTAGAATTAATTAATAATAGTTATGTTAAAAGTTCATATTTTATGGGTTTTCATTCTGTACTTAAAACATCATCAGATTTTATTGGTGCTATGAAAAGTGCAAATGAAATAGCAAAAAATATTTCAAAAACTATGTTAAATAATCAAAGTAAAACATTTCATGATTCAAATCAACTTAAAGATTATCCAGTTTTTCCATATAGGTAAATATTTTCGAACAAAAAATAGTTCTATATAAGAACCTTTTTTTTTCTATGGTAGTTTAAATTCTAAGTCTAAGCTCATTTGAGAGAGAATTTATTGTAAAACACGATTTAACAGGAATATTGAAGTGTAGAGGTAAAAATTTGGACAATCCTGCTCTCACAGACGTTGTTGATGATATCAGATCAAAGATCGCATATGAATAATGTCTTGTTCTAACATATGAACTTATTCCGGGTCTAATTTCTGGAGTATTAAATGAAGAAAAAAAAACGATGAAGAAATCTGCAGAATCTGACTATTGAGACCAAAAGAAAGACAAATTGTTGAGATTGAGATTGAAACTAAAGTGTATAGTAAAATATTCTATAGACTTAAGGGTATCCCTCCTCCTTTCCGAGGTTACTCGAGAATGGGTCATCAGAAAAGTTTGAAATTTTCAGGCAAATAGATCTTGATGAATACAGAAAAAGTTGTCATAGACTCAAAATTCTCTGATGCTGTCTTCTATGAGATAATAGGTTTACAACCAGTGGCGTACGCAGGGGGGGGGGGGGCGGGGGGGCCCGGCCCCCCTCCCCCTTGAGACGAAAAAGTCCTGAAGGGGGGTACAGGAAAAAATATTTTCGCGTGATAAAAAATTTCTTGTGTCATGGCGGGCCCTACACCCCCCCTCACAAACATTTCGTGAGGCACATGATTGACCAGGTCGCAAAGGGAGAGGTTTCANCAAATATTATTCATGGTACATTTGAAGTTCATATTACTGTTGAAAATCATAACATGGAAGAATTTCTAAATATCTGTAAAATAAATAATCTAAAGCCTATCTATATTCATTTATTTAATGGTAATAATCGTAAACAATTAATGACATCATCACATCATGTTGGAACATATCCTAATATTATTGAACAAATTAAAAAATTAATCGATATACAATTTAGAAATTTTAATATCATAAGATTAAAAATCAAATCACCAGCGTTAAATGATGGGGTACCAGAAAACGATATTGATAAATTACTATTTTGGAATAAAAAGTCAAATTATTTTGAATTTCATTATAAAATACTCGTGAAATCGACAATGGAATTCGGCAAATTGAAACAATTATGTTTAAATCAAAACCTACATTTAGCACAGAATACGTTCAAAAAAACTTCGATCGACGAAATGAACTATATTGCCACGATGAGATTGTTTGATGTTGGTAGAGTAAATGCAATTGATAGAAATGATAACGTTATTCGATATTTGACGCAAAATAATTTTCTACCATTAAAAGTCGAAAGAGTATTTGTAGTTTATGATTCGAATATTGCTTTGGATGATGGATGGAGTCATTTTATGTCGTATCCATCAGTTTCATATTCAACTGTTACCAGGACTGGTCCTAGATACCGAATCGGTTTTAAAAATCGAAAAGTATTTAGTCGATCTATTGAATAACTGATCAAGTCTTCAAAATTAGTTGTTGTTGTTGAACAGATTTGTTTTCTAAGATGAAGCCAATAGAAATGTGATTATTGTGGAATACAATATGGAGAATATCGATTTTTAGCAGCAAAATTTAATAAATCATATTGAGAAGTTTGAATAATTCTTCCGAGTGATCAAAACTGAGTATTCTTAAATGAAGAAATATGGACCTTTTGGAAGATAATATTTTTGCATAAAATTATTTCTGAATTGAATCATGTAGTTATTTGTTACTTGTATCCATACCTACACCAATAATGATATATCTATATAGTATATAAATGCTAGAAAAATAAAACTATAGTATGACTTTGACTTGTCAAACCATTATTACCAGCAATCTCTGAATACAAAAACAATTGCTTTGTAAGATTCCATTTAAAAAAAAAGGAATTATTTAGGGCATTTTTCATTAAGTTGTCTGACCTGAATTTTCAACAATAAACTAAAAATTATGTTTACGTCAAGTTATTTTCTTTCTTTTTCATTTAAATGCATCATCAACATCTTCGAAAACGTACTATTCCAAAAAACGAAAACAATCAATATCAATATTCAATTAAAAACGAGTGTAAGATGCACGGAGAGCAAGGTTAAAGCAAAATTTTGTTTTCCGATGTTTTATACATCATTCGAAAACAAAATGGTCTGAAAGTCGTTTCAGGCCTAAACACCTATCTATCAAGACCATCGAAAGCGAAGTGATCAAAATCTCTTCACCCATTCTTGTAAACTTTTCAGAAGTTTTTCTTGAAATCCTTGAGTCAATATTTTCACATGGTTCGACTCGTTAGATGCTCCTCTTCTAAAGTATACGTGTAGGTTTGCACTGTGGGTGAGTGTATGTGTAGATATGGGTGAGGATCTTCTCTTGATTTATTCGTATCCTCACTCACATACACACTCTCGAAAACGAAATTCATCAATACTCAATAGTAAGTGTAAGATCAACTTTTGATAGTGAAATTTAGAAAATTCCAAAAAACTTTATGCCATATCAACAGCGAAGAATTCCTTTCGTAACACAGTTAGAATTGGATCTCATTGAAAATGATGAGTATCGAAAAGTACTGGATATATTGGAATAATAATCAAATATGAAACTAGAAAGAATCACCATCAGACACAGAACATAATCATTTTGATGAATAACCTCTAAAAAAAACATATTTCGTATGTTTTGGCAAGCATGGAAACAAGCATTGAACTATTTGAAATCAGTTTATTTTCGTATCCGTTTCATGTTCCTGCTGTAAAAAAAATACTAATAACCGTCATGCTGATTATGGATTATATTCATCAATTCTTAAGAAATAAATATACTTTTTGATATTCATCCTTTTAAATGAGATCTATTTTGACGTGTCTCACGAGAGAAATTTTTTCCGGTTGATTTCACGTAAAAATTTAGAATTTTTCTGAATTCGACATTGAGAAATAGATATACGCTTTAATTTGCTATAAAATTTATTATTTTGATATTATTTGAAATCACAACATAACTCTCCTGGAAAAATATTTTTACACATCCTGTATTTCAGAAAACTTGTGTATCTATTAAACGAAGTTAATTATCATAAAATCAATGTATACGGTTATTGCGACTAATTGACTACTTTCCTATTGATTAAGAAACTTCGTTACCTTTGACAACTAGTCTCAGTGGCATTTGTTAGTATTGCTATTCTAAACCCAAATATAAATGTCTTGCAAAAATCAGTTTTACTCTCCTCCCAAAAGTTGACCTTCCATAAAGAGTTGATAGTTTCTTTACACACTTCGTACAATATTTCGACCTATATACAGTCTAGAAAACTTATGCTTCTTCTTATCCAGTGTATAGCGATCAACATAGCACCTATAGCAATCAGAATACGAAAGAAATCATTTTTACGATTGTCTTTTGCGGATAATCACAATATACAATAAGAGCAAAAAACACTGATGGCAAATCCATGTGTCAACATAGATTTTCCTAATATTAAGTTGAGGAAATCACAATCTATGAGAAAACATGATAAAATTGCGATATAATTCTTGTCGTAATTCTGTTGATACCTTAAGGAGTCTGAAACGATCTTTAATTATTTTGAAATCTGAAGAATCCTGCTAAGTTTTCTTCATGATTCTGTTTCGAATTCTAGTAATTCCTGTTTACACGATATTTCGTGAATCACAATGTTAGTTTTCAGGATTTCTTCAAGCTCCTTCTCAGATTATTTATTGACAAAGGATAAAGAATCACATGAGAGTTCAGTGTTGATCCTTCTCATAATCTTGATAGAAATGACAAGAAGCATTATGGAAATATTTTATGAATTTTTTAATAGAATCTCTGCGGAATATCCGCACAACAATTCCATGAAGAATTACAGCTAAATTCGACGAGGATCTTACCAGTGGTTAAGATAAACTCAACGGAAGTTCTAAAATGAGTGATTGTGCCAAGCTTCAATCAATATTCTGTCGCTTTTTCCATCTATTCTTGTTTTAAGGATCTTATCAAAATTTTATCAGATCTTCTCAGGAACTAACCTTTCAGATCCTAACTGGGGAACGTCAAACATAGTCAAGACTTTGATAAGTAAATATTCAGATCTTTGCAAGTTGTCATTAAGAGTCTGTTAAAAATTCGAAGTTGAGATTCCTATGAAGATTTATGACGGATCTTATTCAAAATTTCGACTAGAATTCATGAAATGGTTCCATCAAGATTTCAGTTGGTTTTTTACTAGAATCTATTCAAGACTTTCAAATTTGTGAAAATGAAAAATTTTTACCACCGATATCTTATTAAATGTTAATGCCAATTAGGGGTGGTAAGTTAGCATTAGCATTAGCATTAATTAATACTAATTCTACAAACGCCACGCCCAGAGAAAGCAAGATGGAGCAAAAGTGTTGGAACAAAAAAGATGCGCAAGGCGTACCTGCGTAGGATAGCTATGCTCGTTTTATAAAATATACCTTTCTTTGTATAATAATTGAGAAATATCAATTTTTTAACACATCAAAGATCATATAATGCATATATAACACATTTATCTAAAAAAATTCCTTTCAAATAAAAAATCTAGCACAGCTATCCTACGCAGATACTCCTTGCGCATCTTTTTTGTTCCAACACTTTTGCTCCATCTTGCTTTCTCTGGGCATGGCGTTTGAAGAATTAGCATTAATTAATACTAACGCTAATGCTAACCTACCACCCCTAATAGAAGCCATTTGATTGCATCTAAAATTTGTCCTGATGCTAATGGATAATGTTTTAAAATAAGCAATAGCATATTTATGCTCATTTAGATCAGCAGCCAGAATCGTTGAACATAGTCGGAGACCACCTATAATCAGAGCATAGTGCCGTTGAGTAACAAGCAACATAGACAATATGTACATATCAGGTGTATTACTAAGTAATTCATGACGAAAGACAAAATGAGAACTTAATCTACAAATCACCAGAATCATCGAATAAATTAGTGATACTGACGTATCCTGATAATTTTGAAGCAATCGAAGAACATAATGAACCAGTTGTGCAGCAATCGCATTGGAATTTCTGTGCAAATTATTTTGAACAGCATGGATATCACATATTGTTCGGCAACAATGCTGTAATAATTTGACCATATCAGAGCGGACTCGATCATGAGTGGCTCGATGTTTGGATGCTTGATTTCGGAAGAGATCTTTTAATAAATCTTGAAATTTGTTGTCTTCTACAAGTAATGTGTTCTGTTGAAGATATTTCGAAGAGTGCAATACAGTGAAAATTTTCTTGATGCGTTCATTGTATTCAGGATTAGTTGTTGTGCGATATTCTTCAATAGATTGATTATCGGATAACCAATTTTCAAAGAGTCTTTGTTCGTTGACCAGTAAACGAAGAACAGTGAAAGCAAAATGAACGATTGGCAGATTTTCATGTTTTACTTGAAGAAACATATTAAGTAATACTGGCTCTAAACATAAGGAACCATTCAGCCTAATTCAAGTGAGGAGTTCATCCTTTGTATCTTCGTCTTCCACATCTGTATCAATTTTTCGATCAAGTAGATGGAGAATATTTTTTTAAATATTTCTACATGAGAAGCATTCAAGATATCGCTAATACGAATTGGAAAGATGTTTAATCCATGGCAACATTTCTCTATCGAACTTGATGTGGACGGATCGATGGCTCTTGTTTGATTTTGACGATTGAAAGACCGATCACTGATAGTCATCAAAGACTCATAATTAGTGTAATTGGTATCCTGAGCTAACGGATTTGTTCCTGAATAGTGTCCGAGCAGGTGTTTAATTCTTTGATACATCATACTGTTCGGTGTACCAATGATAATTATAAAATTGATTCGTGTTAAAGATTTGCCGAAAAATTGACCGCAAGAACAAGAAGATTCAGTCATTTTTTATCTAAAACGTGTCATAGTTGGGTGTGCGTGGAGTGTAGGTGTGGGTGTGGGTGTGGGTGTTGATGTGGGTGTGGGTTGTGAGAAGCACCGAATTCACAGCCACAACCACACTCATCCACATCCACACCCACATCCATACCCACACCCACATCCACCCACACCCACACACCCACACCGAGATACGGTTGAATCGAGCTTGTTCTGTCGTTTTTTCTGTCATATGAGAAACGTACACAGAGAAGAGTATTACTGACCATGTTGATAGATGTTTCTCGATGACTGCTTAATAATGCGTTGTGTGAAAGTATGTAGCATACTGCCTATGGTATGCACTGAAAACCATTAGATGCTTCACAAAACTCTTAATCATTCGATACAAAACCATGAAAGCAATCAACGATGCAATTAGTGACAGTCGATCAAGAAAAAGGAAAGTTTGTATTACTGAACGGAAACATACATTTATCTTAAAAGCGATGTTTTTCATTGGTATTTGAATTGTACATTATCAGCAGCCATGCTATGTTCGTAAGCATACGAGCGAGAAAGACGTGA